ATCTTCTTCATTTAAAAATAAAATAATTCAGTAGAATAAATTACCATAATAAAGTGTTTGTCCTCAAATCACTTCATTTTTCAGAACAAATGTTTTCTATTTCATTGTCACTACACAACTTCCCAATCATACAGAGAGACGATTTAATAGAATGACAAGAAAAAAGATGTTTATCACAAGGAATTGACATTTGTAATCCACCGTCTTCTCCCAATGCAGCAATTGGATCTTTTTCAGGAATAATGGCTCTTGCGACTACTGGAACATCTTTTTTCTTTGTTCCAAAATTTTTTGAAGCTAAATAAGTACCAGGAGGAGATATCCCAAAACTCATTAGCCCAAATTCACCTCCAAGAATATTTGCTATTCCACCTCCAAGAGAATGTCCAGCAAGGACAACATTAGGATTATTTTTGTCTTTCAGTTCTTCCATGACAACTTCTTTTGCAAGACCAAGAAGATATTGGTCACTTCCTGGTAATGCCTTTGTACCGAAATAAGATAAAAATTTACTTATCTTTAAAAGAGTTTTTTTGGTAAAGAAAGGAAAGAATGGAGTGGATAAAGTTGGAAATATAGACTCTGAAAATAATTGAATATCATAAACAAAGTCAGAAAATGATTGTGATCCTCTAAAAGTTATTACTTTAATAGGTATTCCATTAATTTTTTTATTTGTTATTACATAATGTAACTCGTTTTTCGCATAGATTTTAATTTCCCATCCTTTTTTTTCAAGGTTACATTTGACAAGTCTTTGTTCTTCTTGTTCTTTTTCAGATTTAGGCAATTTATTATCTGATTTTGAACAACATGACGGCTTAGATGATGAACGGTCTTGACTATTTGTTTCACAACCTTCTAAATTAGTAACATTGGCTTTTGCCATTATACAAAAGTAAGCATATTCTATTGGAGTAATACCATAAGAATCAACAGAACATAAATGAGAATGACTACGAACATCATTAGTTAATGGTGATTGACTGTTTTTTGTAATATAAGGATTTGCATAATCAAAATCATTATCGGAATAATCCATTTCATTTGCAAAGTAATAATATTTTTGGCTCCTTTCATTAATCATTGAAGGAGTCTCAGTATCTGGACTTTTTTCTTTGGAAGCAAAACGAATAATTTTGACAATGGGAAGACTTAAACATACAATGACAATCAGAATAATAAGGATTAAAGTGGAATATTCAAAATCAAATCCAAACAAACCATCTATTTCTTTTTTAGATTTTTTTTGTTTTGTTTTTGAAGAAGTATAAATATCTATATGTTTATTTGTAGGAGTATTTGTGTCATTAACAGAAGTATTATTAGTAGTAGGTTTTTTCTCTGAATTTTCTAAACCTTCTCTTAATTCTTTTATAGCATAAATTGACCCAATAAAAAGAATTGAAGCACCAAATAAAATCCAATACCAAATCATATTTTTTGCATCTTTAGTCATAAAACCTAAAGAAACAATAAATAGAATGAATACAATAAATGATAACACAATAATAACCCAATATATAATATGTAAAACCCATGAAATCCATTTGTGATCTTGTTCGTATTGTTCACACCATACCCAAATTTTTTTAACTAACTTTAAAAGACAAGGAGATATCCATTCTAATAGTAACAACCATTGGCTTTTTGTGTTTATTTGTTTTTTTATAGTTTTTATAATTTGAGTTACTAAATCATATATTATTTTGAAAATTAACAACACAAATAATACTATAGATCCGATACTTAAATATGATAAACCTAGTAAACCAATAAATGAATGAAAATACTTTTCTTTGCTTGTTTTTATGTCTGGGATTGCTATTATAAGTGCCACAAAAACTACAATAATTAAAAAAATGATAGATGCTATTACATACCATATCGCAAAAAAGTGCTTGTTCACAAATTTACATATCTTACTTATAATGTTTTTTAATTTATTGGTATTTTCATTAGCAGTTTTTTCTTTACTAATTTCAACTTTAACAGCATCAGAGGTTTTTTCTTTTATAGCTTCTCTATCTTTTCTTTCTTCAGTATTTTCACCAGTAATATTTTGTTCTTTTG